ATAAATAGGTACCACTTCGGTGGGAAGGTAACAGCGTTCCGTGCGCCTTGGTGTTCAGTCATGCCGGCCACATGACCACGGAAACGTCTTCGGACAGCGCAACCCTAGAGTCGGATTCGACTGGCTTTCAAGCAAGGGAACCTTTACCTTACTACTATTAATAGTAGCCTATGGTCACAGCAACTGGGAGGCCAGCTGGTAGACTCTTTGGGTGAAGAGATACTTCCTTTTATCTGTTCTAACCCAACTGCTCAGCAATTTCATGGAGTGCCCATGAGCTCTTGTATTGTGAGAAAATTCTTGTATTATGAGAAAGCTTTTTACTAAGAGTAGAAGGGGTATTTTAAAAACAACAACACCGCAAGCAAGGGGGGGTCTATTCACAAGCCTAAACACCCTGTACACCTGCCCAGATGCTAATATAACCCATGGCATGAATGACGCTGCCGGATGGGTCCCCAACCTTTTTGAGCCTGTGGGCACCTTTGTTCACCTGGCACAATTGGCTTTGTAGGAACAGGTAAAAAATTTTTTTCAAAAACAATTTATTAGGATATAATAAAAAAAGTTCAAACATATATCAAAACTTATACAATTATGTATCCTTCCCTCCTCCCTTCCCCCCCCCCCTTCTCGGCTTCCCACAGTGCTCCAACCTCCAGCCCAATTCTTAAAATTTTCTCCATACCTCCCTTTCCCCTTATCCACATCCACAGGTAACTTATCCTTCAGCTGTTATTCTTATACATTTATCTGTTTTCTACTATTCTTTAATTTTCAGTAGTTCTCAAAGCAAAGTAAATTGTCTTTTACATCCCAGTATTTCTCCAAATAGTCTTTAAAGTCTTTCCAGTCTGAAAAAAAATTATTCTGCTTCCAAATTATTAAGTTTCCTTGTCATTTTATCCATTTCAACCACAAAAAGTAGTTTTTTAATCCATTCCCCAATTTCAGTAGGAACAGGTAAATTAATTCCGCTAGCAGCCAGTTACAAAAACGGATCTGTCTGAAATGACAGGGGGGAAATCCTCTAGCAACCGGTTACTAAAATGGAATCTAAAGGCAGTTTGAAAGGGGTCTTTGTGTCACACAGTGCCCAAAACCCAGGTGTCATCAGGAGGACCACTAGCAGGGCCAGAAGTCCAGCAGCCCCGTTGCCCCCCCCCCCAAGCACCAAGAATCCAGAGCATCACAGCCCGAGACTGACTGTTCCATCTATACCTTGTGGCTAAGAGCCGCTCATGGACCTCTGGAGCAGCCACTTATGGACCTTTTAGCTTCCACCACTTCCTGCGGCCGTGAACCCCATGTGTGAACGGCAAGACCCCATGGAGGAACAGCTCTTCCCACAGGCTCCTGCCTCCTCCTTGGTTTGTGTCTCGTTGGCTGCACCTGGGATGCTTCTGGGGACCCTTCTCCTGGTGAAGTTGGTGTGATCTGTTGATCGAAAGAACAGTTAGAGAAAGAGGTACTTTTCTCCCTTTCTCACAATACAAGAACTCGTGGGCACTCCATGGAATTGCTGAGCAGTCGGGTTAGAACGGATAAAAGGAAGTACTTCTTCACTCAAAGAGTGATTAACACTTGGAATTCACTGCCACAGGAAGTGGTGGCGGCTACAAGCATGGACAGCTTCAAAAGGGAATCAGATAAGCATATGGAGCAGAGGTCCATCAGTGGCTATTAGCCACAAGGTATAGATAGGGGCTCTGGGGAAGTGATGCTCTATCTTCTTGGTGCTTGGGGGGGGGGGTCAACAGTGGGAGGGGCTTCTAATGTCCTGGCCCCACTGCTGGACCTCCTGATGGCACTGGTATTTCTGGCTACTGTGTGACACAGAGTGTTGGACTGGATGGGCCTTTGGCCTGATCCAACATTGGCGTCTCTTATGTTCTTATGATCCATTTTCCATTCTGAACGGGTCGCTCACCGGTGTGTTTCAGGGCCCGGCGCTGATCCAGGAGAGGGCTTTGACTATTCCCGCCGCCGAGCGCCCTCTATCGGCCGGGGAAGAGAAGCAGCTTTGCCTCGCAGCCAAGGAAGAGGACGAAGGCGAGACCTCAGAGGGTAAGGATCCCCTATAGGGATGGAGAATTCCTGAGGATTTGGGGGTGGACCCTGGAGAGAACAGGGTCCGAGGAGCGTGGAGATTTCAGCAGGGTATAACGCCATAGAGCCCATCCTCCAAAGCAGCCGTTTTCTCCAAAGAACGGACCTCTGTTGCCCAGAGAGAATTTGTCATTTTGGAGAGATCTCCAGGCCTTACATTGATGCACGGTGGGACAAAAAAAAAAACACAACACGTTTTCAAGTATAAGCTAATGGGATCTGAACATGCTGAGACTGAGAGGGGGAAAGGTCTTGAGGTCATAGTGGACAGCTCGGTGAAAGCGTCAACCTAGCATGTTGCAGTGTCGAAAAAGGCAAACTATCTAGTCCAGCATCCTGTCTCATACAGTGGCCAACCAGTTGCTCTGGATGGTCAACGACAGCGCATAGAGGCCCACACCTTCTCCTTACGTTGCCTCCTGGCTCTGGGACTCAGAGGATTAGTGCCTCTGGATGTGGAGGTTCCCCTCAGTCACCATCACTAGTAGGCACTGATAGACCTATCCCTCCATGAATCTATCCAGTCCCCTTTTAAAGCTGCTTATTTCTGTGGCCATCACTCGGCCCTCTGGCAGCGAGTTCCACATTTTAATCTCTCTCTGTGTAAAGCAATAATAAATCCCAGGGATGTGTCTTTTTGTGCCTGGGATCTTTGAGATCTAGAGCCATGGGTGTGCTAGATGCTAACTCGATAGAAGGCATCTTTGTATAGGTGAAATTGGCTGGCTGATGGGTCTCCCTGTGCTGGAGCATATCCAGCCTGTGCTGAAGGCACTGCACTGGCTGCCAATAGCATACCAGATTCGCTTCAAGGGTGCTGGTTTTGATCTTTAAAGCCCTATATGGTCTGGGGCCTGCCTACCTGAGGGACTGCTTTTCTCCGTATGTTCCCCAGAGAGCACTGAGGTCGGGGTCTCAAAACTGTTTGGTCCTCCCTGGACCGAAAGACGCCAGACTGGCCTCAGCCAGGGCCTTCTCAGGAGTGGCTCCGCACTGGTGGAATGAGCTCCCGGAAGACATCAGGGCCCTGCGGGACCTCTTAGAGTTCCACAGGGCCTCCAAAACGGAGCTCTTCCACCAGGCCTTTGATTAGGGGCCGCTACCAACAGGCCCGTAGACAGGAGTTTTTTAAATTCGGGGGGCCTTTTAATAAATTGGGGGGCACCCTGCACACACTCCCAAGGGAGCGCCACAAATAAAATTTAAAAATGGATGGGAAGTCGGGGGGGGGCAGTAAGTCGGGGGGCCAGGCCCCGAGATGCCCCCACTGTAGCTATGGGCCAGGCTACCAACAACAACTGAATTGTGGTAAGGCCCCCTGTGCCAACAGCAACAGCCTTTGGCCATATTCTTTTGTTACCATCGTATCACGGCCTATTGGGACCAGCATGCAATGCTACTGCCACCAGCATGTTATCTGTTATGTATATGAGTTTTATGATAGTGCGTTGCGCTTAATGCGTTTGTGTTTTTAACGCATTTTAACTGTTTTAACGTAAGCCGCCCTGAGAACTGCCTCGGCAGGAAGGGCGGGATACAAATCGAATTTAATGAAGTACATAAATAAATAATTGACCTTCTTGCTCTCCTTTGGCAAAAGTTTGACTTATTTATTTATTTGTTTTATTGCATTTATACCCCGCCCTCCCCGCAGACGGGCTCAGGGCGGCTCACATAGGGCACTAAGTGCGTTCAGTATACAAAATTACATAATACAAATACAGATTTAAAACAGATTAAAATCAAGTCAACGGATGCACATGAAGACTCCTAACATCTTGCGTAGCGGGGGGGAAGGCTGGGGTGATGGAAAGATGTTGCCCAATCCCCCCAGGGGTCTCTCTCTATAAGGAGCGGTGGTGTAAGTGGCCGTGGCGGTTCTTACTCATAAGCCTGGCGGAAGAGCTCCGTCTTGCAGGCCCTGCGGAACTGCACAAGGTCCCGCAGGGCCCTGATCTCCTCCGGGAGCTCATTCCACCAGGTAGGAGCCGCCACTGAGAAAGACCTGGCCCTTGTTGCCACAAGTTTGGCCTCCTTAGGGTCCGGGGTCACCAGCCGGTGTTGTGACCCCGACTGAAGTGCTCTTTGGGGGATATATGGGGTCCCTCAGGTAAGTCGGACCCTGGCCGTGTAGGGCTTTAAAGGCAAGCACCAGCACTTTGAAGCGGATCCGGTATGCTATAGGCAGCCAGTGCAGCGCTTTCAGCACAGGTCGGGTGTGCTCCCAGCCCGGGACGCCCACCAACAACCTGGCCGCAGCATTCTGCACCAGCTGCACCAAATTTTCATTGACAGTATCCCCCCCCCCCCCCGTAACAGGCGATGAGTGGGTGATTGAGAACAGAGGGACGGATCCTGAGATGGAAAATCCACGGCCCATGAAGTTGCGCCGGGCAACCTGGGGAACCGCGGCTTGGAAGCACGAGGGTGCAGAGGCTGTAGCAAGTCGGGACGGCCCCGAGAGGGATGGCGAGAACTGCCTGGACCCCAAAGAGGTGAAAATCTTCCCTTATTTAGGAGAAGATGGGGACCAGGCCCAACCGGTAGTCGTCAAAAGAAGGCGAAGAAGCCGGGGGAAGAAGACTTGCGGCGTGTGCGGGAAAACCTTCAGCCGGAGCACAGTGCTGGCCGCCCACCAGAGGACCCACACGGGAGAGAAGCCCTTCATGTGTCAGAACTGTGGGAAATGCTTCAGCTTTAAATCCACCCTGGTGGCGCACGAGAGGACCCACACGGGGGAGAGGCCCTACACGTGTGACCAGTGCGGGAAAAGTTTCACCGTCAGTTCGGTCCTCACCCGACACTACCGCGTCCACGTCGAGAAGGAACTCTTCCGCTGCTCGGAGTGCGACAAAACCTTCAGCCAGAAGTCGCAGCTCCTAAACCACCAGAAAATCCACCTGCGGGAGAAGCCATATAAATGCTCGCAGTGCGGGGAAGGCTTCACCCGGAGCTCTAGCCTTAAGAAACACGAGGGCTCCCACACGGGAGAGAAGCCCTTCAAATGCCCGGACTGTGAGAAATCCTTCAACACCTCTTCCCAGCTGGTCAAGCATCACCGTGTGCACACGGGAGAGAGGCCCTATACTTGCGCCGAGTGTGGGAAAAGCTTCAGCCAGTGGCAAATCCTGATGGTCCACCAGAGGACCCACACGGGGGAGAAGCCCTTCAAATGCGCCACGTGTGGGAAGTGCTTCTCTGACCGTGCCGTCCACATCAGGCACCAGAAAGTCCACACGGGGGAGAGGCCGCATCTGTGCACGACTTGCGGGAAAAGGTTCACTCACCGCACAGTCCTGGTGAAGCACCAGAAGATCCACGCCAGAGAAGCTCTGAACATGCTTCGGCTGGAAGAGGAGCAGAAGCAGCAGCAGCAGCAGCCGCCACCGGAAATCCCATAAATGCTCGGCGCAAGGCTACAGATGACAGTTTCGTCCATGGTAGCTACTGCAGTGTGGAAACAGTTATCTGTATCACTTACCCTCTCTGTATGTTGTTGAGGGGAATTACACTTGTTTCTTCCCCGTGAGGTTGGACATTTCCCAGATGGCTGGTTTCTCCGTGTCCCAGTGCATGACAGTAAGCTGTCCACGTGATCCCTGATTGACTGTGCTGCTGTCCACGGGATCCCTGATTGACTGTGCTTGCTCTCGTTGGAAGCTCTTGGTTTGGTGCTCAACAGCTGGTGGAGCTGTTGAACATCGGTGGAACCAACCCGATCTGCACTTGCTGCTTTAAACTATGCACTATGACTGAATGAAGCATTTACACAGTTATAGGGTGGACTGGGGGGACAGGGACGGAATCAGTTTTATTTCTGCATGGTTGGGGGGCAGCTGTGTGGTTGTGATGGCATTTTGCTTTCTTGGTTAGACTAGACACTTCTGTGCATATATCTTTTGTTTTCTTTGTGATATTCTGTCTTGAGGTATGTGTGTGTTGTTGGAGGGGGGGGGGGGGGGGACACCCCCTGTTTCTTCGCTTCAGATTTTGGAAGCTGCCTTTGCCCTGCTGCCTCCTGATTATAACAATTAGCAGGATATTGTATATCACAACAAAACTAATTAAAAAAGAGAGACTGAAGTGCCTAGAAATTAGCATGGGCATGAGATGATCCTTTTGTGAATACGGGAGGGGAGGTGCTGAGAACTCTTTTATGGTGTCAGAACCCACAGCAACAATGAAGTACACACTTGCAGGAAGGTTTTACTGTATTTGAAGCTATAGATGCATGGACAGGAACACTGTTCGGAATGAGGGGGGGAGTAATGAGCAGGGCATGTTATAGTACATTCAAACAACTGAGGCCCAATTGCGGGAGTTCCCCCGCGCGCCATCGGGCCTGGGAGCAAACGCTTCTAGGCAATACAAGCTATCTCTTTCCCACGGGTTTTCGTGAGATCACCCAAGCAACTATCCAGCGGCAGCAACCACCTGTGGCCTTGAGAGATATAGATGTTCCAGCAGCTAAGCAATTAAGCGCATCAACAGGTCTACATATGAAAGCGAAAGCAACCAAGCGCATACATGAAGAAAAGGGGAAAAACATTGGCAGCTTGCTGACATATGGCCATGTTCACTGTTCCCTCTAAACTGAGTTGGTGTGAGCTAGCTCACAGTTTCTTAGCCTCCGGCTCATAAATTTTGGCCTTAGTTCAGGAAGGGATGGCTCCAGAGCAAACTCATTTATGCAGTAGCCACTATTGCTCGATCACAACTTTGATGCCACCAGCTCACAAAGTAGAGTTTTTGCTCACAAGACTCCACAACTTAGAGGGAGCATTGGCCACGCTCTAGAAATGGACCTGATGTTCGGATCCTGGTTCCTGACTCCCAGTATCTTTGGGTTTCAGAGAGCAGCCATGTCGGTCTGCAGTAGAACACCTGGATTCGAATACAGGAGCGCCTTAGAGACCAACAAGTTTTTGGAGGTATAAACTTCTGAAAGTGTAAGTTCCCTTTGTCAGGTACGAGGTGGAACGGAGATCTGAGTCCTTATATCCCTGTCGGAAGGCCTGTGCCAAAGAAGGAACACAGGATGCACATCGTAGTCAGGTAGATTAGAGCAGAGGAGAAATGCTTAGGGGGAGAAACCTTATCTCACTGCAGATGCCAATTTTTGCCCCCAAGCATCTCCCCTCTGTGCTAATCGAGCTGATTACAATATGCACTGCGCCTTTGTATTCCTGAGCACGGGCTCTACTGGTAGCAGGAGCTCCTTTGCATATTAGGCCACACACCCCTAGTGTAGCCAATCCTCCAAGAGCTTACAGTAGCCCCAGTAAGAAGAGCTCTGTAAGCTCTTGGAGGATTGGCTACACTAGGGGTGTGTGGCCTAATATGCAAAGGAGCTCCTGGTACCAGTAGAGCCCTGCGTGAGCAGTGTTTCCTCTAATTCCCCCCCCCCCACTGAGCGGAGCAGTTCACATCCTGAGCAAAATATAGCTGCTGTAATCTTAAAACGGGCAATGGGCAGTGCAAGACCCCGTGCAGCTCCAGATTGCTGCTGAATGGGGCTTCCTGTGTTAACGAGCGGCCGCTCACGCACACAGCTTGGAGCAGGGGTGTCAAACATAAGGCCCGGGGGCCGGGGCCGGCCCGACCAGGGCTCTTATGTGGCCCGTGAGGGCGTGCAGAGTGCAGAGGGTTGGACTAGATGACCTGCAAGGGCCCTTCCAACACTAACATTCTATGATTCTATGAGGGAACAGGAGGCTGCTTGGGGGGGGGGGGAGTGGGCGGAGCCACTCCAATCGTGGCTTCGTCACAACAGAGCCACCTCGTCTGCAGCAGTCAAGCAGTGTGCCCAGTGCCGCACCGCTGGCTCTCCGGTCCGCCCATGTGGGTTTTCCTCTGCACCCCCCTCCCAGCCCAGGGGGCCTTTCAATGAGGATACACCAACTCGGAGCTTACCAGCTGCTGTCATTTATACAGTTTGTATCTCCAGTACTGACATTACATTTTATGGCACACATGGCCTGGCCCAACAAAGTGACATTTGTGTCAGATCCGGCCCCCGTAACAAATGAGTTCGACACCTCTGGCTTAGAGGGGACACTGATTCTGAGTCCCCTCATTTGCAACACTTTCCCCCCATCTTCTGACTGGAATAGTAGGACTTAAGAGATCTTCGTTCCAATGAGAGGGGTTTTTACTTTCGAAAGCTTATACTTCCAAAAGCCTTTTGGTCTCTAAGGTACTCAAATCTAGCATGTCCAATGTCTTTGGGGGCGGGGTGTGTGTCCAAGTATCCATCCTTTGCTATCTCTGCCTGGAACATCTTCAGGATATCACGTGTTGGGAAAGACCTTTCTCTGCCAGGGAGCTGCTGTCAGGCGGAGCAAAGAGCACTGAGTTCGTTGACCCAGCTCTGCATAAGGCATCTTCATGTGTCTGTTCTCTCTGTCTGGCCTGATACTTAGGTTACAGCTACTTTCTAGTAGTTGTTGTAGATCTTCTGGGCTGTCTGGCCGTGGTCTTGGCATTGTAGGGCCTGACGTTTCGCCAGGAGCTGCGACTGGCATCCTCAGAGGTATAACACCGAAAGATGGAGTACTCTCTGTGTCAAGGTGAGAAGAAAAATGGTAGGCAGGTAATTTATATCTACTCCGGAAGGTGGGGAGTCATAAATTTAATTAATGGCCATTGTTGCAAAGAGGGGAATTACACAGAACAGAGCAAAACAATCGGCAGGGGAGAATATGATGCACATACACTGTTAGTGTGTCCTTTTGCGGATGGATCTATTCTTCTGCTGTATCTCAGAGAAGAAGAAGAAAAAGAGATTGGATTTATACCCCACCTTTCACTACCGAAAGGTGTCTTAGAGCGGCTTACAAACTCCTTTCCCTTCTCCTCCCCACAACAGACACCCTGTGAGGTAGGTGGGGCTGAGAGAGCTCTGACAGACCCTGGTGTCTGCCGTTTAACTCTGGGGAAAATGGCACATGCCCTTGTCTGTATCTCTTTGGGCCTAGGGAAAAAAATTGCATCTAAAACATAAGAACATAAGAGAAGCCATGTTGGATCAGGCCAGTGGCCGATCTAGTCCGACATTCTGTGTCACACAAGGGCCAAAACCCAGGTTCCACCAGGAGATCCACCCGTGGGGCCAGAACTCTAGAAGCCCTCCCACTGTTTCCCCCCTCCCAAGCACCAAGAAGACAGAGCATCACTGGCCCAGACAGAGTGTTCCATCTGGACCTTGTGGCTAATGGCCATTGATGGACCTCTGTTTATCCAGTCCTCTCTTGAAGCTGTCTATGCTTGTAGTCACCTCCACTACCTGCGGCAGTGAATTCCACGCGTTACTGACTCTCTGGGGGAAGATTTCCTTTTATCTGTTCTAAGCCTACTGGCTCATTGAGTGCCCACGAGTTCTTGTAGTGTGAGAAAGGGCGAAAAGTACTTCTTTCTCTACCTTCTCAATCCCCTGCATAATTCTGTAAACCTCTATTCTGTCACGCCTCAATCATCGTTTCTCCAAGCTAAAGAGCCCTAACCTCTAACCTTTCTTCAGATGGAAAGTGTTCCACCCCCTTAATCATTTTAGCTGCCCTTTTCTGCACTTTTTACCATGCTATAAGATCTTTTTTGATGTGCAGTGAGCAGATCTGTTCACAGTATTCCAAAGGAGGCTACACCATAGATTTAGAAGGAAGTTCTTCACCCAAAGAGTCATTAACACATGGAATTCACTGCTGCAGGAAGGGGTGGCGGCTACAATTATAGACAACTTCTAGAGTGGATTGGATAAAAATCTGGAGCAGAGGGCCATGAGTGGCTATTAGCCCCAAGGTATAGATGGAACACTCTGTCTGGGGCAGTGATGCTCTGTATTTTTGGTGCTTGGGGGGAGGGGGAAGGCTTCTGGAGCTGTGGCCCTGCTAGTGGACCTCATGATGGCACCTGAGTTTTGGCCACTGTGTGACACAGAGTGTTGAACTGGATGGGCCATTGGCCTGATCCAACATGGCTTCTGTTACGTTCTGTATTACATAAGAACATAAGAGATGCCAATGTTGGATCAGGCCAAAGGCCCATCCAGTCCAACACTCTGTGTCACACTATACCTTGTGGCTAATAGCCACTGATGGACCTCTGCTCCATATGCTTATCTAATTCCCTTTTGAAGCCGTCCATGCTTGTAGCCGCCACCACTTCCTGTGGCAGTGAATTCCATGTGTTAATCACTCTTTGGGTGAAGAAGTACTTCCTTTTATCCGTTCTAACCCGACCGCTCAGCAATTTCATGGAGTGCCCACGGGTTCTTGTATTGTGAGAAAGGGAGAAAAGTACCTCTTTCTTTACCTGCTCTTTCCCATGCATAATCTTATAAACCTCGATCATGTCACCCCTCAGTCGTCTTTTCTCCAAGCTAAAGAGCCCTAAGCGCTTTAACCTTTCCTCATAGGGAAAGTGTTCCAACCCTTTTATCATTCGAGTTGCCCTTTTCTGCACTTTTTCCAAAGCTATAATATCCTTTTTAAGGTGTGGTGACCAGAACTGCACACAGTATTCCAAATGAGGTCTCACCATTGATTTATATAGGGGCATTATGATATTGGCTGATCTGTTTTCAATACCCTTCCTAATAATCCCCAGCATAGCATTGGCCTTCTTTATTGCAGTCACACACCGTCTCTTCGTGCTTGGGGGGCAACAGGGAGAGAGTTTCTGGAGTTGGCTTCTCTTATGTTCTTAATCCCTCCTCTTTCGAAGGGTAGGAAAAGGGGCAGTGTGATCTTGAGCCAGTCGCCATCTGACAGAATAAACCTAACTTTAAGGATACACCTGTAAACACAGCCCTCAACTGTTTGGAAGAAGGATGGACCAAAAATGTGAAGAATAATGGGAGCCAACTAGGATCTCAGACCAAGATCTGAACCCCCATTCTGCCATGGGAGCCCAAGCGTGCCCAGTAATGTACTCC